CTGAGAAATGATGAAGGTATCATGTCTCAAACACATTTCTGTTCATAGCATGAAAATTATTTTTTCTAATTACAGAAGATGTGAAAATGGGACATTCTGGTCATAAGTATATTTCTGGAAAAAAGTCAAGTAGAAAAAAATAATTCGAGACTATCTTTGTGAAGAATGTCACGTATAATTATCAATGACAGAAGTTTGGAGGAAAGAACTTCTGACTAATGCATTTAAAGCATACCTGAAAGCACCTAACAAGTCACATGTAAGGCAAAACCGATGGGATAAGAACCCTTTCTTAATGCAGCATATTAAACAAGTAAGGTAGCGTTCAAGAGAAATAGGCCAGCATTCTCCTTTATAACATATTAGGCATCTACAGGAATGTGGCCATGTCTTTCTGACTAAATTTCTATTTTCTTGGAGAGCTGGATTTTAAGAAAGAGCACCTTAGTTCTGTATTCTGCTTGTCGCAGCGGTGGTGAGCCGTGCCCAGAGGGTGCCAGCGGCGGTGTGTGCAGGGCCAGAGCAGGGAGCGGGGCTGGCATCTCCCCCCACGGCCCCGCCACGCTCGGCCGGGAGGAGAAGCTCCGGAAAGGCTGGCAAAGCGGGAGCAGGAGCGGTGGAAGGGGCTGGCGCTGGAATTCCCGGTCTCCCCAGCGGAGGGCACTGCGGGATGGAGATCGCTGCACATCCCTCATCCCTCATCCCTCATCCCTCCATCCCTCCATCCCTCCATCCCTCCATCCCTCATCCCACATCCCGCTCCCGCCGCTGTGCCCGCACAGCCTCTCCTACCGCAGCCCCTTTCCCTGCCGGATTCCTTGCCCGGTGCAACTCCAGAATTGCTGTGAACTTTCTTTTCCATACCTACCTACCTGTAGGGAATGGGAGGATGGAGCAATTTCCCTCCAGTCTTGCACAAGCTGATTTCGGCTGAGCGCTGCAGCATGCATGGCCCGATGGGCTCGGGCAGCCTCACGCCGCAGGTTTGGAGCCTGGCAGAGCCGGACACTGCGGGCATGGGGCTGTGGCCTTTGGGGCTGCTGTGGGGACACTGGTGGGAGAAAGTGCTCATGAAACGGAGCTGTACTGAGGACACACAGCAGAGTCAGGAAATCCAGGGTTTTCTCCTAGAGTTACATTTAAGTTTCATTAGCCTGGGTATTATTACTGCAATTTCTGCCTCACAAGAAGAAATTTGATTAGTTCACAAGTGAATGTAAAGTGTTTTGAGATCACAGATAAGAGACTAGTGGGAGCAAAGAAGTGCTATCTCAGCCTTCAAAAAGCTTGGTTCAGCATTTGACCTTAGGTGATAGTTTCTGAGGTGTTTTGACTACCCCTAGTCACCTCAGATTATTGCTCCACATTTTAATACCAGACACTAGCTATTTCCATATCACCCTAGCATTTATGGTGTGTGATCCTTTCTGCTGAACTAGTGAAATTCATATACCTGATTACAGTAATGATGGGCAGTTATAAAAGCTTAAATAAATAGAGCTGTCTGAAGATTTCTAATTGAGTTCTCTTAAAGGCTGCCTAGAGCTCATCATGACCACATGCTGGGAGCCTGCCTTGTTTAATGTTTTTTCTTTTGGACTGACATTTTCAGATCTCTTTATTCTTCTTAGTCTCATCCTATTGTTTTCAGGGTGACCTTTGTCACCCAGCCTCTTTAATTCTAGGGAGAAATGCACTATCTTTTCCATACCATCCAGTTTTGGTATGCAGGACAGAAAGAGGGAACATGGCCAGGATGGGTAATGGAGAGAGATTGCTCTTCACTCACTTCCCTGTTGGGCCAGAAGCTGCATTGACCACGGTGTGTGGGAGTGGAAATGTGTGCCTGGAGAAATGCAGGCGCTGGAATGGGGTGCAGGAGCAGGGCATGCTACAGGCAGGTAGTAACAGGCACTTTGGAGATTGGCTGTGATCCCACAAGCTGGTTTGACTGGTCCACACTGAGCTTTCCTCCAGCATGATCTTGACTGCAGGTGAGTTTTCACTCCAGGAGCATCTTTTGTCATTTTTCAATGTACATTATCACTAGTTCTCTCCTCTCTCACATTAGGTGGTGTGTCTATCCCATGTAAAATGTCATGTTTTTATTGGTTATGAGGGTTACCTCACTGCAGGCTAGGTTTGGCTTTTGCACTGCATGTACTGCTTGTGACATAAGTGCATTGAGCAGCCACTGGGTTCAAGAAGTGGTCTAGTACTGAATTTTCATATTTCAAAATAGAGATTCTCCCAAGGTCCTTCTTTCTCAGCTAGTGATTCCTTTTTAAATTTGGGCATTCTGCCTTGTCTCCCAGTACCTGTTTCCTCCTGTAAAAAACTGTTTCTGCTTTCTTCTACAAGCTTTCAGGTGTCCAGGGATGTGTCCTCTTGAGAGAACCTGGAAAAAGCCCAGGCTCTGAAGCTGGGCTTCAGAGAACACTGTGGGTAGTGTGTGCACAGAGGCACCCCTGCCTCCAATTTTTCTACCCCACCCGGGACAGCTTTTAGAACATTTGAAGAACTGTTTGATGGGTGAGCACCCCAATACTTTAAATATTGTGTAAGAAAGGAGAAAAGACTCCTTATGTGCCAGTCCTAGCCTTCATAGCCTTCCCAGAAAGCCTGGCCACTTTTGTATTATTACAATATATGAGAATTTCCAAATTCCTCCCTGTCTCGAAGCCCCTTCCCAACAAAATGATTGATTATCAAAGCTTCAGGGAAGCTTCTCCTTCACAGGGAAAGCTTTGGAGCACATCTCCAGCTAGCTCCCAAGGACTGAGCAGCAGGGCCCAGGGGGTGTGCAGTGTCCCTGCTGAGGCTCTGCAGCACACCTGCACTGCTCTGCCTCCTTTTAAGAGGACCACCAGAAGGGAGGCCAGATCTCTGGGAGGCTGCAGGAGGTTTCAGTTTTTGCAGCAGGAGAAGGAAGATCTGTAAGAATTCCTTTCTGAAGCAGGAGCATGTAAAGCAAGGAGGGGTCTTGGGGAAAAAAATAAAAAAATAAAAAAATAAGAGCTCTGTAAAGGTGTCTTGCTTACTAGAGAGGAAAAGAACCCTAAACCATGTTTTTCTAACTTGGTCACTCGCCTGAACAGAGCAGTTTGGCCTTTCTGTAGGAGGCTCTCTGTTGCCTTTATCCAGCCCCCAAATGCTGCCATACAAGTTGTGCTACGGGCCCCATCAGTGACTGCAAAGCTTTGCCTCAGCTCTCCAGAGCCAGTGTGTGTGGCTGCTGTCCTTGCCCATGGATGAGCCTTTGCCAGCAGGGATGCTGATGGCACTCTTGCTCTGCAGGCAAGGGCTTGGGCCATGGGTCTCCTTGGGCTATTTTCAGTAGCTCTCTGGCAAATTTACAGAGGAGGCAGTTTATCACAAGATCTTGAAAATTAACATTTTCATTTCTATCACCTTACCAATACTTTTCGGATTGTCATAGCAAATTTAACGTTAAAGTATTATAAAGGGCATCTTAATAATGTGAAGTTCATTGTAGCTGTGGATTTTTATTTTTTTTGTGTACCTAATTGCCTTGTTGGTGTTTCTGATTGTTTTTCCTTATCTATAACTTTTATACTGACTCACAAAAATCTGTACTTCTAAGTTAGCTTCTTTAGCTCCATTTCCCCAGGTTTGTGTTTCTAGTGATTTTAATTTTGCCTCATTTTCATTTGTTTAACCTTTGCATTATTACTCAGTCACTTCCAAAGCAGACATCTTGTTTACCTGGCTAGCTCTCAGACTCCTTTTTTCAGTTCACCTGTCTGATAGTCACCTGCATCACCTCTTGGCTCATTCCCAAGTAGGTTAAGACATAGGGCTACTTCTTTCTTTTACTAGAAATGCTTTTATCTCAGTGCTAGCAACCTGCAGCCTGTGAGAAACCTATCTAAACAAATTCTCAGAGAAGTTGTGACTGTACCTCCCTTCTGTCTTCCTTGCTAGAACCTGGTGGAGGGGAAGGAACTCAGATTTTTATCTGCAGAACTGATTTTGCTATGTGGGTCTTCCCCAGCAGAAGGTAAAAGTGCCACCTTGATTTAATTCAACAACCTTGAAAAAAATGTTTCCAGCAATATAGAAAAAGTACAGCCTTTTCAACTTACAGCTCTGTCAATATTCTGATGCTTTCAGTCAGTGCATAAATAGGCGCCATGCATAAATCCCAGTGGAATTTCCTTTGCATTTAAGAAGATGAAATTATTTTTCACATCAAGGAGTTAGGAGCATTTTAAATTACTCCTTTTCATGTTCCTGGCAAGTTTGCAGAAGTGGGGTCTATTAAGTTAGGAGATCTTTGAAAGGGACACCAATAATCAAGTCAGTGCTCAATGAAACAAGGTTTTTCCCACAAATCGTGACTGATATCTGTGTCATTAGTAGGGTAGCTGCCCATCTCTTATCATGATTGGCAGGTTAATAAGGGACCTGGGGCTATCTTTTCACTGCTAGCACACAACCTAACCAATTGCTTTTAAATGATTGCTAATTTGACAGAATATAAGCAGATGATGTAAAAATATCTGGAGTAACGTCTAATGCAGTTTTTACTCTTGGTATTCTGAGTGCTCTCACTTTAGAAAACAGATTAGAATGTTGGTTAATAGATTTTAAATTTTTTTTGGACACTCAGTTTTTAAAGAAAATCTTGTAGTTGTTCTTTGGTTCAATTAGGACCAAAAGAGAAGGGAGTTTTGTAATGCAATTGTCCTGTAAAGGAAAATGTTTTAAATTGGGGAGATTATGTGAGCAGACCACCTGTAGGGCATTCATAGCTCTTTTCTATAATGCTCCAAGCCATGCCTTGCTGCCTGCAGTCTGGCTAACAATGCAGGGAAAAGCTGTTTAAAAGGCTGTTCTCCCTTTTCCCTCTGGTGTTCACTAACTGTTACAAGTCTTCCTCTTAAAATAAAAAAAAAAAAAAAAGTCCCATGTCCCTTTAATTGAAGAACTTTAAGGCTCCATGGTGGCCAATTGGTCTGCAACAAGAGGAACCAGGCAGCAGGGAAAGAAACTTCAGACTATACATCACGTTTGGTGAAGAGAAAAGATCAAAGTTTTCCCAAACTCAAAAGAAACCAAGTTCCCTACAGATTAACCCTATTCATTTAGCTCCTCTTAAAGGAACGATGTTCTGAGCCACTGGGCAGACAGGTAAAAAGTTCAACAATTGCCAAAGCATTCTTCTGTTAATTCAACAGCCTTCTGCTCAAATAAATTAGCTTACTCCTGACAGAAGAACAATACCTTTTCTCTTGAAAAAGGACCATATTTGATATACAAAAGTTAAGATGTTAGTTTAATCTGTTAAGAAGAGATTGATCTAACAAATCTCAACTCACTGTTCCACCATAGTACATGATCTATGAATTTAAAACATTAACCTTTTACACTTCAGTATGCATCCCAGGAAAGGCAGGTGCTTACAGAAGTGCAGACAACAGATATGAGAGGCACATTCCTAAAATAACACCCGTTTTAAAGGGACACTTAACATGCCATGGGAGACAACTCTTTTGTAAAGGCTTGGTTTAAAGACACCGTCATCTTTCAAAAAAGGAAAGAAGTATGCTAAGGCACCTCTCAGTTTTGGCAAACACTTTTTCAGAACAACTTGTTGAATGACTTGTTTTCTTGTGTCTACATATTTCACTTCTTTAACTGGTAATGACTGGAGCATGAATGCAGTTGATAGTTTATGGAACTACCTAAAGATACAGCATCTGGAATAACCAGGGTGGGAATAGTGGAAAAGCTTGAAAAAGTCATTTATCAAAAGTCATTTTATTGACAAAATAGAATACTCGTATTTGCTCTTACAGGGGTAGCCTCTAAACTTTTTTACAAAAAAAATTTACAGACTGTATAGCTTTGGATATATACATATTTTACACATCTGTACAAGGTAACAAATAATTATATAAATACATCCTTTAATGTAGGAAACCCGTATTTAGCTGGGGTGTAATATTAAGACATGTTTTGATTCAGTCAATATTGTAAGGCATTTGCCTGGTCATCCACATCCCAAAAACCTGCAGTCCCCAGCAGACTCCCATGTCAGGATGGGGGGGAGGAAGACCCTTCCTCCCGTGAGTAAAGAGCTGCTGTTAGTCCAGAGTGACTCAGAAGCTGCTGTGCCTCGTCCTCTGCAAGACACGGGTGAGCCTCTACCCTCCTCTGCCAGCAAAATAATAAGCTGGCTCCTTGAAGTACATGCTCCCTGCATATGAATGGAGGGGAAGGAGGAGGGGGTTGGAGCCTGGGGCCTCTGCCAGCTGCATTGTTCTATACAAGCTGTGGCTAATAAGGACCATTAGGGGTTCATTAATGGCACCAAACAGTGAGGGGGCATTTTAGGCAGGCCAGTGTCCCTCATTCCCTAACCTTTGGCCTCTTTCCCCCTCCTCACACTTGAGACAGGGGCATCTGCTTGGGATAGGAGACAGAGCTGGCGGTGCCTGATCTCCATGTCAGGCCGGTGCTGACATCGCTGTAGAGGGAGCCACCACCTCCGGCCCCAAGTCCTCCTGCTGTGGTGATTACTGCCTGTCCACCTGCTCCTGCCCCTGTGCTCCCAGCCACGGCAGCACCTTTGCTGGCCCAGCAGCAGCGAGTGCAGAGGGCCCTCCAGGATTCAAGGGTTTTGCCAGACCAGACCCAGACACCAGAGGTGATGCCCACCACCAGGCACATGAAGTACTTGAGCATGAAGACGGCGTAGTCAGGGCGGCGGGCCTGGTCTGGCTGCTGGTCACGCAGGCAGGGGCAGTTGTGCGTGGCCTCCCAGCGGGGCCGGTTGTGCTGCTCGTAGAAGAGGCAGGCAACCACGCTGGCAGCTGGCACAGTGTAGAGCACAGTGAAGAGTCCCAGGCGTATCATCAGCTTCTCCAGCTTGTGGGTCTTGGTGGGGCCACCCTGCTGCTTGATGACGCTGCGGATACGGAAGAGCGAGACGAAGCCAGCGAGCAGGAACATGGAGCCGATGGCCAAGTAGATGAGCAGCGGTGCCAGCACGAAGCCCCGTAAGTTCTCCAGGCTCTGGTTGCCCACGTAGC